TTATTCTCCACATTTTTAAGTATATGGTCAGACTGTAGTGCATTTCGAAAATATGATGAATATTCTATACTATAAGAAATAACATTTTTTTTAAGTAAAAATGGGATGTGGGTCATACGGGTGACACGCAATCCACCTACCATCCACCCACATAAGTGCGGGTAGAAGATTTATCAATCCGCAATCCACCCACATCAATCACCTATTACGTGCGAGTAGGATTATTTACGGATAGATCGGTATCAATCCTTAAATTAACCACCCACATGCCCACACCTACTCCCGAGTTGTGCATGAATCAATAAACTATAATGATATTTGTACTACCGGAAGAATATATAGTTTCCTAAATAAAAAACATTCAATGTAGGACGTAGGTGAGGAATCATTTACCATCTCGTTGATACATGCCCAACATAACTCTAGTCTATACGTGACTGTTTGTATATATAGTAAAAACTATGTTATATTTGAAAGAAGAAAAAAACTATTTTATATTCTAAGTGATTGCATGTTGAATATACTTCAGAGGTAGATAATGGATCGATTAGGTGAGCCTTGGTTTCAATTTGATCCACCCATTTATTAGTGAGTTGGTAAAATTGTGATTCGCTATCCACTCACATTTTTTATGGGTTGGGTTTGCTAGGTGGAGGATGCGTGCGGTTGGGTGGTAAGTTAACCCGTAAAATGCAATTCTCCAACTAATCATTTAGAAAGTTGACTAACATTAAAAGTAAGTTCCTAGCGAATTAGTAAGACCGTATTAATAAAGCCACATCCCACATTAGCTCATGTGAATCCATGTAGTATTTGCATCAAAATTTTCATTACTCTATCAACCAATTATATACAGAAAAAAATAGACACTTTGCGACTTTGATACAATTACTAGTTTATAATTTTCAATCTAATGAATATTATACAACAAAATAACCAATAATAGTTATCCGAAATTATTATTTATTCTCCACCTTTAGAAGTAGATGATCAATGTGTAGTACAATTAGGAAATATGATGAATATTCGATAGTATAAGAAATAATATTTTGTCATTTGAAAATACGGTGCAGGTCATTCGGATTACCCGCAATACACCCACCTACATAAGTGCAATTAGAAGATTTATTAATCCGCAATCCACTCACATCAATCACCCCTGCCTATGATTTGGATTATTTGGGGTGGATCGTTATCAACCCTCAAATTAACCACCCATACCTAGCCACCCCTATTTCATTGTCCTTTAACAAATCAGAATTTTCATATTATATATTTCACTTAATTGATTTTTGGTTTTCGAAAACCAGATTTTATGGTTATCGGTTGATGTAGTATCATATCACAAACTCTATTTATTTTATGATCTTGATAAAATATATCACTAGAAATACCCTTGTATCATATACTACAAGAGCATAATAATATTATTTATATATATGAGGAATTTTACTATACTTTAAAGTACTGGTGTTTAGTTTTGTTTTTATGGTACAACTTCAGCTTGTACTTATACTCTTTTATAAAGTCCTTTTATGGTACAAACTAAAGTTGTACATTTACATTATGGTACAAGTTGAAGTTGTACCATAACATAAATGTCAAATTCCCTTATGCTACAACTTCAATTTGTACCTTTAACATTATGGTACAATTTTAAGTTGTACTTTAAAACACCAATACTTTAAAGTATAGTAGAAATGCTCTATATACACATGGTTTGTATTCGGTGCACTCATATTCAATGCACTCAACTCATAATTTTCATTATGAGCAGGTGATTCATGAGAAAACGATGTCAATCGTCACTTGTGATATGATGGATAAAAAAATACACGAATTTGTACAAAAATTATAAAAAATTTACTTAATTTGAATGATTTATAGTTTAGGAATTGAAGGTTAGGGTTTAGGTTTATAATTTGGGATTTTGGGTTAAGATTCAAAATTGAAGATTAAAGGATTAGGGTAATAAATTGATTAGTTGTAATTCTATACTATATCATCATATCATACTAATATTCCTAATTAAAATTCAAAACTTTCATAATTAGAGTTTAAATTTACAATTTCGGTACACTCCCTTTTTTTAAATTCAATACGCTCAACATTTTCACATTACTGATTTCCTTAAAAAAAACAACATTCGGTTACTTATGCATATCTTGATGATCAATAAGGTACCAATTTAGTGACGGGGCGAAAATGGGGAACATAAAAAGTGAAACTAGCATTGCAGTGAAGCAGTTTTACCAAATTTGGTGAGTGGCTTTTACATTTGTATCACGTTGCAATATGGTAGGTGAATGAACCCGCACTATTAGAATTTCTTCACAAAGAAAAGAAAAATCCCATGTTAGAAGGGACAGGTGTCGCTCCTCATTCTCTCCTAGCTATCACTTATTAATTACCACCTTCTTCCCGTGTGTTGCACTTCTTACTTATACACAGATTTACTCCTTCGGAATTTTTTTTTGGGGTAACATCATAATGATAATTTAAATTTTGACTATTGCAAATACCTAAAATTTTAATTTTGGAAAATAAAAATACATTGTGTCCAAATATTCAAATATCTAATAAGTGAATGCCACGTCATTTTTGTACCGTTAAGATAACCCTTTGATCCGTAACACTACTTGTGGCCTGTGGGTGTGGTGAAGAAGTGAATTGCACGTCAATTATATACATTTGAAGTCTTTAGTTTAAAAGGGTATAAAATCCTCCACCACATTTTAATTATTTATTTACTTCAAATAATTTTTAACATAAAGGTTCAAGATAGTGTAGAAATGTCTTATCGTATGTTTATCGAGTTTTGCTATTTAGATCATGAATGAAATAAATTTTGGAGCATGATGATATTATACTCTAACATCTAATGAATGAACCACAATATCCAATTTTCTCACCAAATCATATGATTCATTCAATCTAAAAATATTAACTTACGAATAGTTGTTTATTAAAATATATTAAAATGTATCTAAATGTGAATACTAACATATCAATATATCATACTTCCAGCGTATCTCATTTTAGCCTTAAGATGGATTGAAGTGACGTGATATTCATTAAATATTTATGCACTTTTACAAGTGTCAACTGAATCTTAGCAGCTAAGACTAACTCCAACCCTTGCTTGCAAATTTGGAGAAAGTGAACAATTTGCATTTTTTCATCTCCAACCCACCTTCAATTTTGCTTTCAAATTTGGAGAATGGAGTGTTGGGGGTGGATAGGTAGCAGCCTCCATGGAGGAAAGGGCAAAAATAGCAGCTGGAAGGGGGGACCCCGCGTGCAGGCGAGGGCCACCCGCGCGCGGGAGGAAGGGCTTCCTCCCGCGCGCGTGCGGCCCAGGCGCGCCTCCACGGGTGGCCCTCGCCTGCACGCGGGGTCCCCTGCTGCTTTATTTATTTATTTTTTTTTTATTTTTGTTTGTGTGGTTATTTGTTTGTGTGGGTGTGTTTGCGTTTTAGTTTGTGTGGCTGTGTTTGCGTTTTAGTTTGAAAGAAGTAATATAGTGACAATAAAACGGTCACATTGCAACGGACACATTTTAACGGTCATATTTGGATAGGTCCAAAAAAACGGTCATAAAGTAACGGCTACAAAAAAAATGACTAATTTTGCAAAAAAAAAAAAAATTATCTCGGAATTAAAAAAAAATTACATCGAAAATTTTGTTTTCACAAGTAATAACAAACTATAAAAAAATTAAAGTGAATTACAAGAATGATATTGTAAATAAGTATGGATTATGGAAATTAAATAAAAAAAAGATGTGGGAAGCTAAATTTGGAAGCCTATAGGGTTGGAGCAAAAAAGTGTTTTGGGGAGGCAAATATGCACATTTGAGAGCTTGGGAGGCTAAATATAGTTTTTGGGGTTGGAGTTAGTCTAACTAGTGACCGTCAAAATTAAAAAAATGAAGGGGTCAGACTAAATTTGTCTTAAAATAATGTTCTATCTCGAGAATTCAGACCACAGTTCAACGGTTAGACTATTTTAACCAAGGTACTACCTCCATTTGTCTTCGGGGTTTTTTTTAGCAATAACACAAACCTGAATATAATAAAAAAAATTACGTTGTAATTTTATTAAAAAAAAAAGATGCAATATGAATATATGATAGTTTTTTTTTATGGAAACATGATAGTTTCACTAATGTGAATATATGATATTTATTGTTCCAAAATATTTAGTTTCATTAGCAACAAAATTTGCATAAGAAACTTCTATACATAAATATTAGTGACTTCATGATGTGCACAAGTATCATCATGTGTCAATTTATTTTTCATTTTACACCATTACTCTCATGCAATACATAGTTGTCCACTAGATCAAAGGTAGTTGCTAGTTTGGGTCCAGGTTACCTTCCTTAATTAGCAAAGAACAAACCACATCTCTGAAATGGTACCGTACGGTGGCATGGTGTGCTCAATTTCTTCCATGCAACTTGCAAGCATCAATATTGTGATATACCTTCCAAAGGCAGTCAACCACAACTTTCTAACCTAATTCTAAGGTAAAATAAATAAAAAATGAAAGAACAGTAAGACCCACAAAATTGTTTTATCGTCTATATCAAGTTTACTTTACCCATTTTTTACAGTTCTCATTAACTTTGGAGTTTTCTTACACTAACTTTTCTATTATTTCACTTCAACAAGCGTCTTATTAACTAAAGTCAGTTTCTTATGAAACATGAATATCCCGTAGTTCATCGATTTGGGATTCACCTTTTTAAGTGTTACACCAACTTTGCATACTGGTAGATAGGATGGATCCATTATGATCACATGTTAAAACTATACACTGCGCCCAATTCACAGAGGAGGTTGCAACAACAAACACTACCAAAAGAATAAAATTTAAAAATTTAATGATGACACCAAACAATACTTTTCGAAAACGATAATAAAAAGAAATAATGACACGTACAGCAATAATTCGAATAAAAAAATGGCAAAAGAATTAGTAACAAGAACGTACGGTGCCTCTATAAAACCCAACCCTAACGACACTCGTAATGGGCACAACAAGAAGAAGTGAGAGAGCTAAGTGAGCAATAAACACACACACCACTCTCCCTCACCACTTCCATCGGCCGTTGCCCTAGGCCACCTAGATAAACAAAACACACCTTGTGTTTTTTTCATCATCAGCTTAGGGCACACCAAGCCATGGACGTGAACGCCTCCGGCGGCCTTCCCGCCGCCGCCACCATTACCGCCTCCTCAGCCGCCGTCACCGCCACCGCCACCGCCACCCTATCCACCACCACCGCCATGAAAGCCATCCTCCTCGCCCTCCTCATCTCCTTCATCAGCCTCATCAACCTCAGGAAACGTTCCTCCAAGCTGAAATCCACCGGCATTGCCAAGAACGCCGCCCTCCCCCTCCCGCCGAGCCCACCCTCGTGGCCGGTCATCGGCAACCTCCCCGACATCATCCGCCGCAAGCCGGTGTTCCGATGGGTCCACCACCTCATGAAGGAGATGAACACCGACATCTGCCTCATCCGCCTCGGCAACACCAACATCATCCCCGTCCTCGACCCCGCCATCGCTAGGGAGATGCTGAAGCGGCAGGACGCCATCTTCGCCAACCGCCCTTACACCGTCGGCAGCCACGCCCTCAGCGGCGGGTACATGACCACCGCCGTCGTCCCCTACAACGACCAGTGGAGAAAGATGAGGAAGGTACGGACGTAAAAAAATTATGTTCAAACGGAAGTTACGACTTACATGGTACGTAACATGTTGCTCGTACTTTTGACCCTAATAGGTGCTGACCTCGGAGATCATCTGCCCGGCACGACACAAGTGGATGCACGACAAGCGGGCCGAGGAGGCGGACAACCTCGTGTTCTACGTCCACAACCACAGCGGGCCGGGCAAGAGCGTGAACATCCGGACCGCCACCCAGCACTACTGCGGGAACGTGATAAGGAAGATGATGTTCAGCAGGAGGTTCTTCGGGGAGCCCACGCCCGACGGTGGGCCCGGGCCCATGGAGGTGGAGCACGTCGCGGCGGTGTTCACGGCGCTGAAGTACCTCTACTCCTTCTGCATCTCGGACTACCTGCCGTTCTTGAGAGGGATGAACCTCGACGGGCAGGAGAAGATCGTCAAGGACGCCAACAAGACCATCAGGAATTACCAGAACCCGATCATCGACGACAGGATCAGGCAGTGGAAGAGCGGCGAGAGGAAGGAGATGGAGGATCTGACTGACGTGCTCATTACCCTCAAGGACAGCGACGGCAAACCCTTGCTCAACGCCGACGAGATCAAGAACCAGGCTGCGGTAAGATAATTCCTCTAGTTATTTACGTATGGAGGGTTAAAGGGTATTAACCATGCAAGAAACATTAGTCGTACAGTGGTACGTAAGTTGTCTCTTTCTTCGAATTAAATGTTCACGACTCACGAGGGAAGTGGGAGGGAAAGTCCGAAATGTCCCTATCGAGATTGGGACGTTTCATGCGCTGCGGCGCAGAGGATAATATATTATTCGCCCACCAAATTTGTACCCCTTTGTTATTTTTACGTACCTTTTTCTATGTGCTGGCTACATTTTGTTTCCTTTCGTAACCGATTTCATTTTCCGGACCACATAGTAAACAGTCACTAATCATACGTCGCATCTAAATTATTTCCGCTAGAAATAATTCTATTGTTTTTTTTTTTTGGGGTTACCGCAGGAGATCATGATTGCGACGGTGGACAACCCATCAAACGCGGTGGAGTGGGCGATGGCGGAGCTGATCAACCAGCCGGAGCTCCTGGCGAAGGCGACGGAGGAGATCGACCGGGTGGTGGGGAAAGAGAGGCTGGTGGAGGAGTCGGACATCGGGAGCCTGAACTACGTGAAGGCGTGCGCGAGGGAGTCGTTCCGGCTGCACCCGATGTCGCCGTTCAACGTGCCCCACGTGGCGACGCAGGACACGACCGTGGCGGGCTACTTCATCCCGAAGGGGAGCCACGCGATGCTGAGCCGGTACGGGCTGGGCCGGAACCCGAAGGCGTGGGCCGACCCGCTGAGGTACGACCCGGAGCGCCACCTCAAGGACGGCGTGGAGGTGGTGCTGACGGAGCACGACCTGAGGTTCATCTCGTTCAGCACGGGGCGGCGCGGGTGCGTGGCGGCGCTGCTGGGGACGTGCATGACGACAATGCTGCTGGCCAGGCTGATCCAGTGCTTCACGTGGTCGCCGCCGGGGAATGCTAGAGGGATCGACCTGACGGAGAAGGAGGACGAGCTCGTGCTGGTGTCGCCGCTCACCGCCACCGCTGTCCCGCGTTTGGCTCCACACCTGTATCCCACCATCACCAACTGATCGATGAAGAAAACGGTGGCGTTTTTGTTTTTTTGGGTGGTTTGGGAAGTTTGCAATATGTGTATCTAATTTCTACTGGGAGAGCTGCATGCAAGACTCTCAAAAAATAATTGGCTACCGTGTGTGTGAGAGTTTAATTGTTTAAGCTTTGTCTCAGTTAAATATATGTTTTTATGGGTTTTGTGTTTTTTACATATAAAATATATGTACTGTGTGTTTCCCTTTAATTTTCCTACACTATTTTCTTCTTCTTTTTTGTATTTCAGTTAATTTTGTGTTATTGTAGACGGCCGATTTTCATAATGAAGAAATGGACCGGGCTGGATGTTTGTTCTAGTTTCTCTTTGGGACGACCTTAGAGCAGCTGGTGTATTTATAATTTCAGACTACTAACTTATTATTATATGACAATCATACTATTATTTTCTGTGATGGTCCTACTGATGAAGTTCTCAATGTGTCTGCGACACACGTGTGTTTCCAAGCAATAACAAGAATAATCGAGGTTAACCTAGACAAGATCTTCATTTATCAAGTTCGTCAGCTTGAAGACCTAAGTCACTTTGCTGCTTTATTTGGTTGCAATTGGTGTGAATTTCTAGAGATTTATCTTGGCATGCATTTGGGACGAAAATCCAAAAATGACTCGATGGATGGCGTGGCAAATACTGTCTCTTGGGGGACAATTGGTTCTCAATGAAATTGTTATCTCAACTCAATATAAAATATAAATACCATTGTTCTTTATTCAAGGCCCCCAAAACAGTTGTACGGATATTGAAAGAATTGTGTTGATTTGACTTGAATCGGATTATTGGCAATTACAACTGGAATTCACGGGAGTACTCTAAATATTTTCATACTCCTCTGTAATCTATCTGTATCTCCTTGAAGTATAGTAAAACTGACTCTCTCCTGCCCTTGAACTAGCTAATGCACATTGTGTTAGTGAACCACATAAATTCGTTTGTCGTGTGTGCGCTTTTGTTTTTTTTTTTATTGTTGAATTCTCCAATTTCCCGATCCGCAGAGAAACAGGGCTGACAACAGGAATTCATTTAGAGCAGAGCCAATGATGATCATAAATATCATCTTGTTTGCTGAGATATATGTAAAGCACATAAAGCTGCACTGCTGCAGGTGGCATTAGTGTTATAGACTTTTGAGTCCATGAACTCGACGCTTCTTTGTAAATGGTTACGACATTTTGGTGTTGAGCGTGACTTTTGGTGGAGAAAATTGGTAGCTGAAAATTTCTCGGATGGTTCTTTTGGGTGGCGTTCGGGAAGTAGATTAGGTGCCAGGGTTGCTTCACCTTAGAGATCTATTATCCAAGAGTATAAGCAATTCTGGAAAGCTTTCAATATCTAGCGAGGTGGAGGAGCATGGGTTTCTCTTTGGAGAGATGCTTGGACCCAAAAATCATCCTCGCAAATCTTTTCCCTGGTGATGCGGCTGTCAGTTCTGCTCCTGATTGCTGGATGTCCAAAATCTATAAGTATGAGAGTGGGAGAGTTTGTTGGGATATATTCCCTTTCTTTTTCCTTGAGAGAGAGAGAGAGATAGTTCATCTATTAAATGTTACTTCATCATCTTCCTGATGCCTACGTGTTACTTGTTCCGGCCATATATACTTGTTGAGAGTTCAATCTTTGTGCTTCTTTCTTTGTTTTGTGGTTGTACTTGTACATATTACTAGGTGATGGTTTTTTCCCTTGGCATTTAGAGCTTTCCAGTTGCCACAATCTAGAGACAAGATGTGCCTTTGAAACTTTATGAATTTATGTGGTTTCTATGGCATCCTAAGGGTCTGTTTACTTTCATTTTCGTTTCCTGTTTTCTCTTTTCATGCCATAAATTTGACAGTCGAAACGAGAAAAATTGTTCACTTTTCATTCCGTTTTCTATTCGTTTCCAACTATGAAAATATAAAGTGGCAACTTCCTGCTGTTTTTGGAAATGACAAAATATTGTTTTCACCTATTTTCAACATCTGTTTTCTCAAAAACAGGAAACAGAAATAAATGTAAACAGGCCCTAAGGTTTTCACTCACACGAAACCCTGAAGAGGAAAGAGGATGGAGTATGCCAAGTCATTGTTCTTTGTTTGGGAATAGTGAAGAGACCATTTCTAAATACCAAGACTGCAAAGTTGTGGAGAGCTCAGAGGGCCTATAGGTAGGGAGAGACACAGACACGTGAGGACAACCTTCGATAACCCCCCACGACCTCGATGCAGAGAGAAGGTCGTGGTAGGATTGTTGTCAATGTTGAAGCGAGTTACAACAATATCAGCTTCATAAGCTATCAGCTTGGCGATCGGGTTTAGGGAGATGAATGGTGTGTTATTAAGAAAATAGATATTTTCTTAAACTTAATTGTAAAGACGAGATATGATCTGATTAAGAAAATTAAGAAAATAGAAAAAAAAAACTTTAACTAGTAAAAATACTCATCTCTCTCTTTTGAATTTGTGTGTCAAATCATAAAAAAATAAGAAGACAAAGGTGTGCAAAAAGTACCAGGTTGCCCCTCCTTGTCTGTCCTTATTTAAGTTTTGAGTCATCAACTCACGAGCAAATAAACGAACAAAGAAATTGATTATGTAGGGTTCTATTAGGGGTGGGCAACCGGTGCGTTAAACCCGTATCGAATCGAACCGAACTTAAACAGAATTAAACCGAATCGAAACCGAATTAATGCTATTCGGTTCGGAATTCGGAAGGGAAATATGGATATTCTTGAAACTAGGGTTCTTTCATCCGAACCGAATTTTCAAAGTTCCGACCAAAAAATCGAAATACTATAATTGCGAGCTCGAAATTGTGGATTTTTATGTTTGTAGTTATTTTTGGACTTAAATATTTGAAATGTTTTATGGCTTATGTATTGAAAAGTTTGATTTTACTATCGATCTAAGTTTTTATACCAAATATGCTTTCATTCTTTAACATTATTAAAATTTTTATCTAACTTATAAAATTTAATATTTCTGTGATAAATTCCATAATAATATGGCATAACAACACATTACTTATAAGTTAGGGCTAATACCACTACAACACCCGAACTATCAGAAAAATGCCACATGATAATGAAAATTCCACGTCAGATGCCACATCAATGCTGACTGGATTTTCTGTTAAATACTAACGGTCAACGCCAGTCAACACTGACGAAATAATAATTCATGACACATATGGAATATTGAAAACAATAGGACACAAGTGACATTTTTCGGATAGTTCGGGTGTTGTAGTGGTATTAGCCCTATAAGTTACACAAACCTCTACCCTATTTGCAACTCTACAGGTCTGGATTGAGTTTGGGGTTACCAGGCTATGTCGGAGCATAATTTTATTGCTTTTGGCCAGCCTAGTTATTCTGCTAACTTGAAGATTCGTTAGTATATACTAACTAATATCCAAAATGTATGAACTAATATCCTAGTCCGCTAAGTATCTAGATAACACAAACTAGCATTCAAAACATCACAAACTAGTATCCAGATAGCATATACCAACTAATATCCACAATCAACCAACTGGTATTCAATATGGATACTTTTATGAGTTATCTAGATACTCTTATGTGTTATCTGGATACTAATTATGTGCTGTATGGATACTATTTTGTGGTGTCTAGATATTAGTTTGTGATTTTGGGATAATAGTTGATTCATGGTGGATATCAGATTGCAAACTTTGAATACTAGTATGTCCTCTCTAGATACTTTAGTACTTGGATACTAGTTCATGTATTTTGGATATCAGTTAGTATCTGCTAACGAATCTTCAAGTTAGAAGATTAACTTTTCTCGCTTTTGGCTGGCCATTTTAAACAAGTGGATGTTTTTTTTTTCTTTTTTTCTGCATAACAGTAAAAGCACCCTATCAATAGTCAATACTATCCTCTACAACCCTTTCCAATCCAACATACCGAATCACAACATTATATAAGATAGATAGAAGATTTCACAAGTCATTTTATGTCAGTTTTAGGAACCGTCCTAAATTAAGATCCTTAATCTAGACCTGACAATAATAAAGATAATATCTAAGAACAGACCCTCCTCCTATCATGTACGAGTCAAGATCTGCAGCTAGTTGGCGAGCCACAACTTCCGAATATCCTTCTAGCTAGGGCTGTCCATTTGGTTTTGGTTAAAACCGAAAAACCAATAAAAACCATTAAGAAACCAATAAGAATAAAATTATTTATCAACAAATATTTTTTTCTTTTTTTCTTTTGACACACATGCCAACCAATAATTTGTAAAGGCCATTTACCATTATTATGACGTTTATTCAATAAAAAGGAGAGAAATAGGAACAAATATGAGTGTATGAGTACATATTGGTTTTTTGGTTATCCAAACCAAAACCAAAACCATTAGGGCCCTTATTGGTTTTTGACAACCAAAAACCAATAAGGACCTTAATGGTTTTGGTTTTGGTTTTTGGGATTTGGTTTTTGGTTTTTCATACTTAATGGTTTGGTTAACCAAACCAAACCAAATTGACAGCCCTACTTCTAGCATACGCCTCGAAACAGTCATTTTTTATACCAACAATCATCTAAAGAATTCGATTCTACGTACCATAATCATAAGAACTATTTAATTATTTTACAGTAGACATGAAAGCCTAAATATGTTTTGGTAAACTATTCATAATTTACATAATGTTTTGACCTTTGAACCTAGTTATACATTCAACCATCTAATATACTAATTAAAGTTATACTGTGATTACTGTTGCATAGTGGTTTTGTTATCATGCACAACTGTCACTCACTTTAGCTCACACGCAGGAATAGTCATTGGCTGAGGGACGATGATGACATTGATGATGAGCATATCATGTTATGTTCCATGTGGAAGTCGGCTATTCGTAAGGGGGTTTTGGGGATATTTTAAGATTATTAAGTTGATAATTATTATAAGGGAGTGGATACTATACAAAATCCCGACCTGCAAAACCTTGCAAAACTCGATAGTATCACGACATTGTGATACAATTTACGAAATATAATTGTGTCGTATCAATTTACACATGTGTGATATAACTAAAGGTAATTGAAAGGGGGCGGGATGGTAGGAGTTTTTCACGGTTTTATTTCTTGATGCACATTCACTAACCAATAAACATTTTGCTTTGCGCTCTTTTCAGTTTAGATTCCGAAAGAGTTTTCTATTGAACCACCAGTACGGTACAATCGTCGCTCAATCGTGGTTAAAATCAAGTTTGACACGTTGTTCTGACCTGAGTCCCGATTTATGTTAAGAAAAACAAAAAATTATAAAATCATATCGAAGGTCGTACCGAAAAAGTCAGCATTAGGATTTTGTACTAAAATCATATTTCAATCATTAGAGCTTGACACATTGCTCCAACCTGAGGCTCGATGCCTGTTCCGAAAGAACAA